AAAAAAAAAAAAAAAGTTTTCCAAAGACAAAGTATAAATACCCATATGAACTTTTAAAAATAAATAAGTACAACAGTCGTAATCAAGTAAGGCACATCCCCTGATGAGAGAAATAATAGGAGATGAAACAGGAAATGTAGAAATCTACATGGTAGATGCTCTGAGAGACCAAGCTGAATTAATACTTATTAAGTATCTACCACGTAGCAAGGGGTTTGCATACATCCACAATCCATGAAAGATACCTAGTAGAGGAGTAACTTAAGGAAAAGGTAATTTAGGAAGATTCATCTATGGGAAGAAGGAAAACAGATAAGATTTGTATCATATTTAGTTAAACATTTGTTAAACATCCTTACTGTGTGCTAGGCTGTAGGGATCTGAAGATGAATGATTTAAGGTACTGCAAAAACGGTGAGGAGGCTACACGTTCCGACCTCCTCTAACCCTACAAGGGGAAGACAGGATTACCAGCAGTAACCCAAGGCCTATTCCTACAAGGCCAGACATGCTGCCTCCCTCCAGCCCTTTCTCCAACCGTTCCTCCCAAAGCACCCCCACCTCTCTCCTGGGTTTGATAATTCGCTGCAGTGGCCACACAGAACCCACAGATCATGGAGTTTATTAGGGAAGCACCAGGCTACAATTCAAGCTCAGGAAAAACGCTCAGTCTCTATCCCAGCCCACCGTCCCTCAGCCAACAGTCTCTCACAGTCTCTTTCCCAGCAGTGCTGGTCCCTCAGTGTCTCACTCAGCGATGCGTGTCTCTTGCGCCTCTTTCCCAGCAGCACGTGTCTCTTTACAGGTGCGTGTCTCTTTCAGCAGCACATCTTCCTCAACCAGCAGTCTGAGAGAGTTCTGCCTCCAGGAGGCCTCCTTTTGAGCCCGGAAGGGTGGTCAAACTAGCCAATCACAGCATCAGAACTCTAAGCATGTGAGAGAACGTGGGAACCTCCCAGAACATTGTATTGTGCCACGCCCAACAGAAATAACCCAGGTGGACAACTTCAGCAATCAGGAGCTCCTCAGTTGCTCATAGAAAATCCCACCTTGGAGTTTACAAAGACTTATGGGTAGAAAAGCCACACTAAGTAATTTACTACACCGCAGGTACAGTTGCTGCCTTGTGCCTATCTAGGAGCCCACCTACTTATAAATCCAACATTAACATACTAATATATTATTTTGTGCTTGCTGCTTTGTGGCCCAGTGGTTGCATTCCAGTTGTTTCACATTTGTTGGAGTCTCATCAGCTGGTTCAATCTGGTCCCTGCTCACCACCTGCACCAGGCCAGTAGTGGTCATCAGTGACAATCTCACTGACTGTTGCAAGTAATTCCTGTGACCAGAGAATCAGCCATGAGCAATTAAGTTTTCTTTTATTCTCTTCTTCAGGAGTAGCATGCACATTCTTTCTCTTCTGGAGGCTGACGGGACCAAATTATAGGCAGTTCCAAAGTGGTGACAGAGTTCGAAGAAATCTGGGGAGAAAGTGTTTTTGCCTTGGACGTAGGACAGCTGCTGGACCCACCATGGCACCTGTGAAGATCAGCCATGTGGTGTCATTTTCCTCTCAGGTATATTAGCACAATTTTTTCCTGGTAGCTAGAAGGAGTGAAAAATAAAAGAGAGTTGGCTCCACTTTCAGGGAAAAAATGTTATCTGAAAGTAACGTTTTCCCTTCTTTGGAAGTCCAAAGTCAAATGGGGAAAACATAGCTCTTGCCTTTAGGTTGTCCCCAAGAGCAATGCAGGAGGTATAAAAGAAGTATTCCCAGGAATTGAAGGTAAAGAAGGAAGAACATTGAGGATCCTACCCATAGTTTGCAGGGAGCTGGCAAAGCTGTAAGCCCACAATCTGTACCGCAGTCCCCAGAAAGGCATTTTGGTCACTTTGTCAATGAGAGCAGGCCAGGACACTTGAGGTAATCCCTGACCTGTGAAGATACCACTGTCACCATCAAGGGTGCTGCCAGCCTCCTCCCTAAAAGTCCTGTAATACCCTAATTAGAGCTGTATCCCAGGTCCTGGGTTCTAAGGCTGATCCAGTGTGTTAATTCTTAGGGACTCCTAACCCTTTCCTCTGCTGTCATTGCTTTATCTATTCACCCCTTCTCCTCTCCTCCTTTACCCTAACATTTTTCAAGGGGTACCACTGGCATTTTGGGTGAGATGAGCCTACATTTTTTCAGCAATATCATTTTGCATTGCAGGACATTTAGTATCCCTGGCCCCCTGCCCATAATGACAGTATTGCTGCCTGATCATTGTGACAGTCAAAAACACTACCACACATTTCAGAAAGACCCTTATAAGGGTGTGTGGTAGTTAAGTTGTATGTCAACTTGGCTGGGCCTGGTTTTGAGTAGCTGGGTAGCTGGATGTAGTTATTCCCCAATCTCAATGGCCTTCCATGTTGTTTGATAATCTTAGGACTGTGCCATTTTACTTGTCAACCTTGAGTTTGTTGGTCTCAGCCGCCAGCGGCTGCCTGAGCTAAGAGACACCTCCAGCTTCAGTGGGCTGGGAACAAGAGGCAGAGCTGAAGCCTAAGGTGGAGGGGCTTTCACCCAGCCCCTAGAGCTAGCACTTTGAACTTGGACTTCTAGCCTCCTAAACTGTAAGACAATAAATCTCTGTTTGGTTTTAAATACCACTTGTGGTATCTTCTGTTAGAGCAGCACAAGAGAACCAAAACAGAATGGTATTGTCCCAATTAGGGAGCTCTGGTGGCATAGTGAGTAAGGCATTCAGCTGCTAACCAGATGGTCGGTGGTTCAAATCTACCAGCTGCTCTGCAGAAGAAAGATGAGGCAGTCTACCTCCATAAAGATTTATAGCTTTGGAAACCCAGAATCAACTCAATGGCAGTGGGTTTTCTTCTTTTTAATTGCCCCAATTAATAACTACTACATCAACTCCTAGGTGAAATAAAATAAAAATTACTCTTACCATGGTCAGCCTATCATACCTTTGCATAGTCAGCCTAATTTTTTTTTTTTTTTTTCTTAGACTTACAAAGCTTTATAAAAGGCTAGAGAACATTAGGTATCTTCTGATAAAGTAGTTTTCAAACTATACTCTGTGGGAACCCACTTCTAGAAGTTGAAAGTAAAGGGAACAAGTATGTCTCTAGCTCTTCTTCCACCTGCCCTTTAACCAGAGCTCTGCCTTTATTTGTTTAAAACCATTCATTTGTATATTTATATATATATACACTTACATATATCCTTGTAACATAAGATTTCAATTAAAAGGAAGAGTGTTACTGCTTTAAAAAAAAAAAAGAAAAGTTGAAAACCATGAATCTAATCTCTTGCTTTACTTACAAATGCAAAGATTTAGGTCCAGAGAGAGAAACTCATTTCCTCAAGGCCCCTTGACAAAAGAATAACTGACCTTAGGTTCAACTAACCAACCAACCCACATTCTGACTCATAGCATCCCCCATTGGGTTTCCAAAGCTATAAATCTTTGTGGAAGTAGTTTGCCTCATCTTCCTTCTGCACAGCTGCTGGTGGATTTCAACCACTGACCTTCTAGTTAGCAGCCCAATGCCTTACCCACCATGGCACTATAGCTCCTTAACCTTAGGTTAGAACTCAAAATTTCTATCTCAGTACCACTGTGTTGACTATGAACAAATCACTTTCTTTCTATGCCTCAATTATAACATTAGAATAAAAATTTTTACTTTTTTTTTTTTCCCACCTCATAGAGTTATTTTCAAGGTAAAATAAATGTCTGTGAAGACTTTAAAAAAAAATTATTGTGATTTGGGTGAAAGTTTACAGAGCAGATTCATTTTCCACAGAGAAGTTCATACACATTTTGTCTCATGACATTGACTGCAATTTCCCACAATGTAATAGTTCTCTTCCCACTTCCTCCCCATAGTTACCTCTTCCCTCTGTCCTTCCCTCCCATGCACTCCTGTCCCCCAAGCTGTCTCCTCATGCATACACTGCCCTTCTGTTCTCCCATGACTCATCTTTCCAAGGAATGTATCTACCTGATGTAAATGTTCAGCCCATATGCCAGTCTTTTATTTGTCTGGAAGCCACAGGAGTGAATTCAATTCCAGACCTGAAGGGCAGCTAGGGACCATAGTCTCAGGGGTTCCACCAGGCTCTATCTGACCAGCAAACCTACTCTCTTCTTTTTTATGATTTTGAGTTTTGTTCCACATTGTTCTCCTACTCTATCCAGGGTCTCCTACATAGATCCCCCTCTAAGTGCTTGACAGTGGTAGCCAGGCACCATCTATTTCTTCTGGTCTCGTGGTCATGTAGGCTGAGGATCGCATGGTGTACCAGTTCCTTGGACTAATTGTTTCCATGCATTAACACATGTTATAAATTAAAAGAAGTAGTATAGTGTGGTGGCTAAGCACTCTGAATTCAGAAACCTCAGTTAAAATCCTGGCTTTGGTTGCCTAGTGAAACTCTAAGCTTAGTTTATTTTTCTGTTAAATGGGAGCTCTGGTGGTGTAGTGCCTAAGGCATTTAACTGCTAACCAGAAGGCTGGTAGTTCAAACCTACCAGCCACTCCTTGGAAGGAAGGTTGTGCAATCTACTCCCGTAGTGATACTGCCTCGGAAGTAATAATTGTGGCTACCTCACAGTTGTTAGGATTAAGTGCAATGATGTCTGTAAACCACTTAGCACATGATATATTCCCATGGGCTGAATAGTGCCTTTTCTGCCACATTGGGATGCCTGGAAAGGTTTGTGAGAATAGGGATCTCTCATTCATGGCCATCCTCTTCTCCCTTGGACTTACTAGGTTCCTGATTTTTTCCTTTTCTCTCTGACTTAGGATCCCAGGTATCCTGTGGAAAACCTACTGAACCCAGACAGCCAGAGGGGACCTTGGCTCAGCTGCCCTCAGGACAAAAGTGGGCAACTGAAAGTGGAGCTGCAGCTGGAGAGAGCAGTGCGCATTGGCTATATCGATGTTGGTAAGTGAGTTCTCCGGGGCCTGGGAACCTCTGACAGAGGGCACAGAAATAATATTTCCCCCGGCCCCTCAACTACAATGTCTTAGTTAAGTCTAGCTGAGCAGCTTTCGTGAACTAACCCCTACCTGGGAGTGATGGGGAGATACGGCCCCGGACCTGGGGCAGGTCTGTGGTATTGTAACCTCCAGAGGCTATGGAATACAACGTGAATGGTATTCCTTAGATTATGCAACATACTTGCCTGCTTAGGTCTGAGTAATGTGGATAAAGCCATAGGATATTATTATAAGTGCCACAAGTAGAATCTACGTGCACCTCTAAATATCAGTGTCAGGAAGATGCTGGAGGGATAAACTGTGCAGAGTTAATCCAGGAAGGTTTATTGGAGGAGATGGGAATTTATGGACTGAGAAGATTGACCCTAGAATTCTCTGGAATAGAGCAGTGGCAAAAACCATTTGTCCCAGCTGTCCACACAAAGAGGTGTCAGACTCCTTAGTGTAGATTTAATAGAGGCAGAAGTCAGGGTCAAAGGACAGGGGAGAGGCAAGGTTTCTGATGAACCTTCACATGGTCATTTAGTGGGCTGTCATCTCTTTTCACTTCAGCTGCTGGTTCCCTGTGGGGCTTCACAAGTTGCTTGACCTTTCTGAACTTCCAGTGAGCTCTAGAATGGCTTTTTCCCATCCAATTCCCTTATCTACAATAGGAAGGGCCCCTGTCATACCATCACCTTTATCCTTTCCTCAACTTTTTTGTCCCCAGGTAACTGTGGCTGTGCTTTCCTGCAAATTGATGTGGGCCGTTCTTCCTGGTCCCTGAACAGACCTTTCGTCACCCTGCTCCCTGCAACCATGCTAATGTCCCTAGCTGATTCAAAGCAGGGGAAGAACCGCTCAGGGGTCCGCATGTTTAAAGATGGTAAAGAGGGTAAAAGCATAAGAAGAGAGAGAGAAAAAATGTGTGTGTGTGTGTGTGTGTGTGTGTGTGTGTACAGTAGAGATATAGTACCATAGAGTGCTGTTGGGTATATATTGTGGGAGGAAGTCTGCTTTAGTTATACCTATTGGGGAAAGAGGGGAGGTAATGAGCAAACAACTGTGTGTTATATTTGTGTGTGAGTTCTGTGTGGTGAGGATACCATGCTAGGTATGGTCTGATAGCTAGGTATATTTATGAGCTATGATCTTATTTACACGTAGTGAGATTCAGTGGAACCAGTGTTGCTGTTGTTGTTGTTAATGTGCCATGGAGTCAGACCCAACTCATAGCAACCCCTCCTTGGGTTTCTGAGGCGGTATCACTACGGAAGTAGATTGCCCAACCTTCCTTCTGAGGAGTGGCTGGTGGGTTTTAACCGCCAGCCTTCTGGTTAGCAGTCAAATGCCTTAGGCATTATGCTACCAGAGCTCCTCCCATATTTGCAATTAATATGTTTTTATTGATATATCTATACCGATTAAGGGTGTAGAATCAATGTTTATATATGGAATGGAAAGCTGTGTGATGATTATAGATGTGTAGCATGTAGTGTTTCTTGAGTTCTGTTCTATGCCAATCTCTGAGTTCACTTGGCACTGCAGAAGAAGCATAAGATCTGATTCTTAGCCTCTGGGAACTTACCTGTCTAGTAAGGGTTTGCCTGTGTTTAAATTGGAGATGTTTGTAATATTGGACAAAGAGTGATACTGCAGGGGCACAATAGGTGGAGAGATGAAGTACTGATTGGCTAGTGTTGGGAATTGAGTGTGTGAAGGGTTTGTGATATTGGTGATGTGACATTGTGAGTGCATAGGGCATGAGGAAGGTTGAGGTCAAATAGTCAGGGAAGGGTAGATATATCTCAGGTAACCATAGGGCAAGTGGTTATCTCAGACCCAACCATTACAGATATCTCCTGTTAAATTGATGAGGTCTCTGTAAAGGTGCACAGTGAGGATATACTGATGCGAGCAACAGTGTGGAACCGTGACAGAGAGGAGTGATGGTGGGAAGGCAAGGGTTGGGTCTGAGAAGCCCAGAATGGCCTGCCTGCTAAACCTTGAACACCAAGGCCAGTTATCAATAATGTCCATTCTTCCTTTTGTTGGAGCTTACACCATATAGTCCCTGTCTGCTTTTCTTTCTTTTCCTCTTTACTGACCTTCTCTTATTTTCTTCTTCCTTCCATTTATGCATTTCCTTTCCCCTCATGTTCTTTCTCTTTTTTCCTTAGATGATTTCCTGGCCCCAGCTTCAGGTGAGTCATGGGATCGACTTCGCCTCACATGCTCCCAACCCTTCACACGTCATCAGTCCTTTGGCCTGGCCTTCTTGCAAGTTCGTTCCTCTCTGGATTCCTTAGATGATCCCACAACAGGACGCTCAGCCCCTAAGAGCTGTGGGCTGAGCCAGGTATGTATGATGGTAGAACAAGGACTTAATGGTCTCCCACCCCTTTCAGGTTTCTGATTAAGAAGCTATTGCCTGGTTGAGGAATATTTATATATAACACATAAACCAAGCCAAACCAAACTCACTGCCGTTAAGTCAGATCTGACTCATAGTGACCCCTCCTTGGGTTTCCAAAGCAGTATCTCTATGGAAGTAGATTGCCTGATCTTCCTTCCAAGGTAGTGGTTGGTGGGTTTGAGCCACCAGAGCTCCCATATAACATATACACACATTCAACTACAAGTACCAATGGGCTTGCTACCCTCTTACAGCATAGAGTGAACTCCTCTCCTTCCTTCTCTCATGTAAAAGATGTAAGTGAGGGAGCCTCAAATATAGTGTTCATAGGGTTGTCAGACCATTTGTTCTTCTTAGGTACAAAGTTACCTCATACTTTTACGTTTTTACTGGCTTTTATCAGACTTTTCTTTCAGCATCTAAAAATCCCAAGGCTCACTTAAAGTCTCTTTGTTCTTTTTGTTCTCTGCCCATCAAAGCCAGTTTTACCTGTAGATCTGTGCTCTGCAATTTAATTTGTTCTCTTCTTCTCCCTCCCTATGCAACACACATACACTTCTAAGAGAAGATGTGTGTGAATACTAGTCTATTCTCTACTGAAGGAGCTGTGGTGGTACAGTGGTTAAGGCCTTTGGCTGTTAATCAAAAAGTCAGCAGTTCGAACCCACCAGCCACCCCATGGGAAAAAGATGAAGCAGTCTGCTTCCCTAAAGATTTACAGCCTTGAAAACCTTGTGGGACAGTTATGCTCTGCCCTATAGAGTTGCTATGAGTTATAACTGACTGGATGGCAGTGGGTTTGGTTTTTGGTTTTCAGCTAGGCTTCTCACCTTGAGTTTATATAAGTTTAACTCACCTTTTCTCAGGCAGTTTTCTAGTTATATATTCATCCTAAACTTGTTCTGACTTCTCTTCTCCTGCTGTCTTGGTGTCTCCGTATATTTTTCCAAGCCTGTATCCTCTATGATATTTCACTTACAGACAATTATGAATGAAAGATCACACATTATAGAATTCTAGAAATTGAAAAAAAAAAAAAAAACTTAGAAATCATTTAGCCCCAGTGTTCTGGTTACCTAGTGCCGCTCTGACAAGAATATACCACAAATGAGATGGCCCTAAACAAACAGGAGCTTATTCTCTTACAGTTAGGAGGCTTTAAGTCCGAGTTCAAAGTGCCAGGCTCTAGGGGCTGGGTGAAAGCCCCTCAACCTTGGGCTTCAGCTCTGCCTCCAGCTCCCAGCCTGCTGAAGCTAGAGGCTTTTCTTCACTCAGACAGTTGCTGGCTGCTGAGGCTGCCAAGCCCAAGGTTGACAAGTTAAAAGGCACAGTCCCGATTGTTACCAAGCCACAAGGCAGGCCATTAATTCAAGTCCATTGTAAGTCCCAAAGTCGGCAGAGCATAGCAGGCTGCTGAACAGCAACACAGCTACATGCAGGATCCAAGCGTGCCATAAGCTAGAGACCATTCCCCAAGGCTTCTGCTTATATACAGGAAGCAGACCACATTCCCTAAGGCAGCTACTCAGCTGCTCACAGTAGATTCCACCATGGAGTTGATTACCAGTTCATCATGGGGAATTCTACATCCAGCTGCCCAACCACTCAACCAGGCCTAGCCAAGTTGACACACAAAGTGAACTATCACACCCAACCACTTCATTTTATATCTCAGATAGTGAAACTTCTTTGTATTCAGTGAAAAGCTAGAAATCAGGTCTCCTGTTGTTACCCTATATTGCAAACATTTGACAACCAAAAGAATTTCAGTTCACAGAAATGTCAAGCCACTTCTGTTAAGGTTACTGAGAAAAAGAGGAGTCTGAGCATTGGGATGAGAAAATGGAGTTACAGCAGAGAGCAGAAGTACATGCTTTTGTAGTGCAGCCTTGGGAGAGACCCAGAGAGCAGAGACAGTAAAGCTTGCTCTGAGGTTTGCTGTCCCATTCTGTGAAGGGAGGAGCTCTGGTGGTGCAGTGGCTAAAGTATTTGACTGCTAACCAACAGCCACTCCACAGGACAAAGATAAGACAGGCTACTTCTGTAAAGATGTGTAGTTTGGATGTTCCATGGGGCAGTTGTACTCTGTCTTATAGGTCACTGTGAGTCAGAATTGACTCAATGCCACTTGGTTTAGTTTTTGGTTCTGTGAAAGGGTGTGGTAGTTCATGTTGTGTGTCATCTTGGCTGGGCCTGGTTGAGTGGCTGGACGGCTCGTGGTAGTTATTCCTCATGGTGAGACTGGTAATCAACTCCATGATAGGATCTACAAGCGGCTGAGTAGCTGCCTTAGGAAATGTGGTCTGCTTCCCATATATAAGCAGCAGCTTTGGGAATGATCTCTAGCTTATGGCACACTTGAGCCCTGTGTGTAGCCAAGTTGTTGTTCAGCAGCCTACCATGCTCTGCCGATTTGGGGACTTCTGATGGACTTGAATTAATGGCCTGCCATGTGGTTTGGTAACAGTCGGGACTGTGCCTTTTTACTTGTCAACCTTGGATTTGTCAGCCACAGCAGTCAGCAGCTGTCTGAGTGAAGAAAAGCCTCTAGCTTCAGTGGGCCGGGAGCTGGAGGCAGAGCTGAAACCCAAGGTTGAAGGGCTTTTTACCCACCCCCTAGAGCCTGGCACTTTGAACTTGGACTTAAGCCTCCAAATTGTAAGAATAAACTCCTGTTTGTTAAAGCCCTCCCATTTGTGGTATATTCCTGTCAGAGTTGCACTAGGTAACCAGAACAAGGGGTGAAAAATGCAAAAGGAGCAATGGAGGCAATTTGATGTATTCTACTACGTTCTGATTTACCCAGTGCTAGGAGCTGATATGAATGGAGTTAGGTCTTGGTGATCTTAGCTGTTCAATAAAATGTAAGCTCCATGGGATTAAGAACTGGTCTGACTTGTTCAATTATATATCCTTGGCACCTAGAATAGTGCCTAGAACAGGCTTGTAGTGTAAATGTTCATTATATAAATAACTTTTGAGGGACAGTTATAGATAGGGTCACCGTACACTTTATCATCCAAACCAAGGCACTTTCAGAGCAAAAGCGGGTGTTATTAGTAATTACACTAGGGAAAGACTGTCCCAAGCGAACCAAAACATAGTTACCATAGTTTTCAGATAAATCAGAGCTTCCAAGAGTCTTTGATTTTGACCATGTAAATTAATCTGCACCTCTAGAACCAGGATGGGATCGAGAAGGAAGGGAGTCAGCAATTCCAGGCCCATAATATCAGAAAGGCATTGAACAATATCAGCAGCAGAACAAATCACATATATGCAGGTACCTCATTGGCACCACAGGAAAGGGAGGTTCTGAAACGTTTTTACAGGAGAGAAATAATACATGGAGATGAATCAGACAGCACTCAATTTCATAATTTAAGATACCTATAATGCTATAGACATTTTTTCAAATCTATCATTCTAATTAGCATATTATAATGAAAGCAAAATATAAAAGTTTTCCACCCTATGAATTATGACTCCATGTAATTCAGAGTAGATTTACACTCCATGAGGTTTTCAGTGGCTGTGATCTTTCTGAATTAGATCACCAGGCCTTTCTTGAGGTGTCTGGGTGGATTTGGCATGAGCCATAGTTGACTTGACAGCAACTGGGTTTGTTTTGGATTTTTGTTTGTTTGTTTAAAATACAAGCTTTTATGATCACTGATTTCCCAGTAAGGAAACAAAAGAACAGAGAAATTTAGTGGGGTATCCCAGGTCACCCACCCACTGCTATCAAGACAATTCCAACTCATAGTAACCCAAAAGACAGAGCCGAACTGCCCCCTAGACTTTCCAAGGCTATAAATCTTTACAGAAAGAGACAGCCTTGTCTTTCTCTCACAGTGTAGCTGGTGGGTTTGAACCACTGACCTTTCAGTTGGCAGATGAGTGCTTTAACCACTGTACCACCAGGGCTCCTTATCCCAAGCTAAATTAATTTTGGAACTGGGTTTGAACCCAGACCACCTGATTCCAACTAGTCTGTGCTCTGAAGCTCAATTTCTAATGGTTAATCTCATTTAGTGTTAAGGTTAAAGAAACCATCTCTACATACTTATGCTAGTTATCCTTTCTAGTAATATTCACTCTAAAACTCATAAGCAAGGCAAAGAAAAAAACGAAAACTCTGGAAGATTAAAATATTTCTAAACTGACGTTGGGTCAAGGAAGAGACACGATGGCAATTAGAAAATATTTAACATTGAATGAGGATGAAAATACTGCTTATCACACTTGGAGTAGAAGGCCAAAGTCGTGCTTACAAGAAAGATATTTACCTTTAAAAGAACCTGTGATAAAGCTAAAATTCTTTTTAAAAATAAAATATTTAAAATTAGAGAAAAAAGGAAAAGAAAAGAAGGAAATAGTCACAAATAAATTTAGACAAAGAACTAAGGAATAATAGTATATCTTATAAATAAAATCTCCATAGAAATGATCTATTAAGAGATTGTTGCACAGAGGCATTTCTGAAGCTAGAAGTAAAGAGGTTTATAGATGCCTGTGATAGTTAGATATAATGGTTAACTCAAAACTCACTACTGTCAAGTTGGATTCAACTCATAGGGGCCCCTTCTTGGGTTTCCGAGGCAGTATCACTATGAAAGTAGATTGCCCAACCTTCCTTCCAAGGAGTGGCTAGTGGGTTTGAACCGCCAGCCTTTTGGTTAGCAGTCAGGCACCTTAGGCACTATGCTACCAGAGCTCCTAGATACAATGGTTAGTGCTAGAAAAATGCACGTGAAATCTCTATGCTTACACATCTCTTTGTAAATGGCTAGAAATGATGGCTAAACTTGGTAGGTTTTTAGTTATAGGTGAACAAAATTCCCAAAATAAGTCATACTGGAAATTAAGCAAAGGTAGTATTTAGAAGGAAGTAATGAAAATGTCTCCAAATAGTTCAAAATAAAGTTTTGTCTATACAAAGAAATATATGTATGTAATTTTTTTTTTTTCTTAAGAAGGTATATGAAGAGAGATAATTGATTTGAGTTTTGTTCCTACATGAATCAATTTTATGTGTATATAGATTTCAACACACACACATATGTATATGTATACCTCCAAAAGTTTACACATCCATCCCCATAGCCCTGTTTTGCCTCAAAATATGTAGTCTCTTATCTTGGGAGCATGACAAAAACTCTTACCATTGGGGAACTACATACACAAAAATATCAAAGAAACTCAGATCTTAGAGCTGGAAGAGAACTTGAGAACTGGCTCACACAGGCAAACATGCATGTAGAAGTTATTGCAGATAACATTCACATATTACGCCAAGTTCCTCAGGTTTGGGAGTAGGCCTTGGCACTAGGTGGCAGTGTCCCCTAGTAGTGAAGCTCTGTATTTCTTACTGCTCCATTTTTTTCTCCTCAGGGGTCTTCTGATGCCCAGAAGTCTGGTCCCAGCCCCTGGCTGGCTAATCCTTCCATCCGGAGGACATTCTTCCCAGATTCCCAGATGTATGTAGCTGCCAAAGTGGAGTTTTCCCAGCCACTTCACAGTTCTTTTCCCTGGAAGGAAAATGCTGCCAAGTCTCTCACAGGCACACAAGCCCAGTTAATCACATAACAGTCATCCCTTTGTATATGTGAGGGATTGGTTCCAGGACACACCACCTCCACAAGGATACCAAAATCCATGGATGCTCAAGTCCTTTATATAGAATGGCATAGTATTTGTATATAACCTGTATAGGTCCTCCTGTATGCTGTAAATCATCTCCACATTATAATACCTAATACAATGTAAATAACACATTACACTCCTTAATCTTTGAAGGATTACTTTGACCACTTAATCTCTTCCCCTCCCCAATATTTTTGATCTGTGGTTAGTTGAATCTATGGATGTGGAACCCACAGATACAGATGGCTGATGGTACTCTAAATCTAGCCTTATCTGTATATCAAACTGGCTTTTTAATTTTTTTGGTTAGATATCATTGACCTGGGTGAGCATAATGAGGCCTCTGTTTTGAGTTAAGCCAAGCACTCTATTCCCTGCAGGAGCACCAGGGATATTTCAGAGCTCAAGAATAGTCTACAGCAGCTGCAGCCCGGAGGAACTCTGGGGCGTTCAGCCCGCATGGTGCTATCAGCTGCCCGCAGGGCGCCCCTAGCCACCGTAGCAAACCAGAGGAACAACCACGCAGAACCAGGTCGCAGTCCTCCAGATTGTTCAGGTGAGGCCCATGACCCACCCTGGGCTGTAAAGGGATGGCTCATGACTAGGACTTCATGTGGGAAAAACAGGACTGCAGTGTCTTGGTGCCATAAATAAAACCAAATATTGTACAGTGATTGAAAGAGCATAGGTCAGAAATCCTTATCTTCAAAGAGAAGGACTTCAGCTAAGTAGTTTCCAAGGCCTCTTATAGTATCAATGATCGGTGATCATCTCAGAAGGATAAGTAAGTCAGGGTGGTGATCTGTGTATGGTGTTTATTGGAGAAGTAAAGTAGGGGGATAGTATGATTTTATGACAAGAAGAAAGGATGAAAAAATATTTTGGAGTTCCTAGTTTGCATAACACATTACTAGGCACTTTTACTAACTTAATCCTATTTAATATTTGCAACAAATTTATGCAGTAGGCATTATTTCTCTCACTTTATGAAAAAACTTGAGATTCAGGTAGGTTAAATATTCTGAGCCCCACAGAAAATAAGTGACAGAGCTAAGATTTGAACCCCAAAGCTCTTGTTTTCTTCATTATTCCATACAGCAAGAGGAAGAAAGCATGTAGGTTTCTCACTGAAAAGTTAAGAAAACAGGATGATTTATTGCTACACTGAAAAAATTTAAGAAAGGAAAATGGTTTATTTGTCATTTCAGAGGATTAGAGAAGTTTTTCAGTGATGTGATGAGTTTATCACTGTACTCTAGAAATAGAGTAAATTGGTTATTTATTTCTATGTAACAAATTACCCCAAAACTCAGTTGCTTAAAGCATATTTATTATCACACAGTTTCTGGAGTTTAAGAATCTAGGCACAGTTTACCTAGGTCTTGGCTCTGGGTCTCTCACAAGACTGCAGCCATCTCAAAGCTCAGCTTAGTAGGATCTGCTTCCTATGTCACTGACAGGTCTTGGTAGGATTCTGTTCCTTATGAACTGTTGGACTAAGGGTTCCTTCAGCTCCTTTCATGAGAGCCTCTCCGTAGAGAATCTCACAGTATGGCAGCTTTCTCCATCAGAGTGAGCAAGCAAGAGACCAAGATAGAGTGCCAGCAAGCCAGACAGTGTTAGCAAGATCAAAGTCACAGTCTTTTGTAACTTAATTACATAAGTACCATCTATTACTTTTGCCATATTCTATTTATTAGAAACGAGTTACTAGGTCCAGGCCATACTCAAGGATGGGATATACCAAGAAGCAGGAATCAGTGGGACTAATTTCAGAAGCTGCCTACCACATAGGGAAAGATGCTGTTTACTATTTTAAGAGAAAGAATGAAGAGAACAAACTTTTTTTGGGATATGTACTATGAGCTGGATATTGGAGCTATGACAGCACTTGGAAAAACATTAAGTGCTATACAAAGTGTTTTGTAAAATCTGAATAACTAGACAAATGGTTGTTGCTGGGTTTTGTTATCACTCATTAGACAGATACTAACATTTCTTATGTACCAGGTTCTATGCTAGGTGCTGGGGATAGCACAGTGAATAAAATCACAATACCCTAACAGAGAAACATGTCTCCGTATCACACAGAGGAATCTAAAACTTAAAACTATGATAAATGCTTTGAAAGAAAAGCATAGCGAATGACTAGAGTTAGATTAGAAAATCCAGGGGAAATGCCTCATAGGAATTAGCATTTCATCTAAAACTTGAAAAGTGAGGAAAGAATTAACCAGGCAAAGAAGATGGAAAGTAAATTCCTGGCAGAAAAAAATGGCATAGGTGAAGACTTTGTTCATGAGCTAGATTTAATGAGCATTTCTAACACAGAGCTCAGACCTGAGGAACAAAACTTACAGAATGATGCAGGCAGGATGAAGAGACGGAAAGTGCACGACCAAAGGTAAGTAGGTCAACCTAAAAGACCCCAGTCACCTCCTACAACCATTTTGCCCTCCTGTAGCTAACCTCCCCCTACTCTTACTTCAGCAAGGTCAGAAAGTAACTTTGTCTGTAGGTCTTGATCTCTTGGTCTGGACCTAGAGGGTTGTAGAGAGAAGGTAGCCTCTTCTACATGTTGTCAGGCTGAGAAGTAGGGGCAAGGAGACAGCCCTGTAGTAAAACAATCTGAAGATACTTTGTATCTCGTGGACTACATTACCTAATTCTACATTATCCAGTGTTTATTTACATTTGAACCATTCAGGATGTTTAATAAAATCGGATCACAGCTGTGCTATAGGATATAGATACTAAAGGAAGAGAGCTTGCACACCATGTGGCACCTAGGTGACGGTTTTGTTTAGTATGTGGTGTTTTTAAGGAATTTCCTTGAGATGAAGCTTGCCTTTCCTGTCCTCCATAGGCATCACCATTCCTTGTCTTATAGTAAGCAAAGACCTCAGACCCTCTGAAGGATGCTGGTTTATTACCCTAGCACTGTTTTGTGGCATGAGTAGGCACTCATTAAAATTTGTTGCTTAACTATTGGTAACTGATGTTAAAGATGAATCCTTTGGAATGGGGCTAAAATTGGGGATGTGAGTGCCAACTTCCATCATTTTCCTGAAAGGCCAGCCTTAAAAGATCAGACTTCTGTTTATTAAGAAAGTTGGTGAGGTCCTGGTACCCTCTTCCTTGCATTAGATTCTGAAATACCAAATTATTTCTGCCTTGCCTGGGGGTCTTTCAGACATTCTGAAATGAAAGCAATAGAGAGAGCATGGCATATTTATCCCAGGAATGCAAGGTTGGTTCAACAAACAAATTAATGTAGTACACCGTATTATTGCAATAATTCATAAGATAATAGATTTAGAAAATCCTAAAGAATCTTGTTTTGGTTACTTTGTGCTGCTCTAACAGAAAATACCACAAATGGATGACTTTAACAAACAGGAGTTTTATTGTCTTACAATTTGGGAGGCTAGAAGTCGAAGTTCCCGGTGCCAAGCTCTAGAGGCTGGGTGAAAGCCCCTCAACCTTTTTTTTTTTTTTTTTTCTAATGCATTTTATTGAAATATAATTTATGTACAGTGAAATACACAAAACTAAAGTGACATGGGTCAATGCTTTTTTTTTTACAGTGTTCCCTCTCCTCCCCTCCCACTTCTGGCAACCAAAAAAGAAAATTTCCCTCCATATATAAACCTTTCCTTGACCCTCGACAACAACAGACTTGTACTACATTTGTCCTTCTGTGAATGACTTATTTCACTCAGCATAATATCCTCCAAGGTTATCTGTATTATGCAGTTTTTTGTACACTCTTCATTATTCTTTAGTACTGCATAGCATTCCATTATGTGTATGTACCATAGTTTAGTCATCCACTCTTCCACTGATGGGCTCATAGGTTGTTTCCATCTTTTTGCTACAGTAAATAGTGCTGCGATAAACATGAGTGTGCATATATCTGTTCCTGTCCTGGTTCTCACCTCTCTAGGATATATACCTAGTAATGGGATTGCTGGGTCAAATGGTATCTCCAATTCCAGCTTTCTAAGGAGTCACCATATTGCTTTCCACGATGGTTGTATCACTTCACAGTCCCACCAGCAGTGTATGAGAGTCCCAATCTCTTCACATCCTCGGCAGCATTTGTTATTTTCTGTCTTGTTGAACCTTGCCATCAGTGCTGGGGTGAGACAGTACCTCGTTGTTTTATTTGCATCGGTCTGATGGCCAATGATTTTGAGCATCTTTTCACTTATTAGTTGGCCACCTGAATGTCCTCCTTGATGAAGTTTCTATTCATGTCTTCTGCCCATTTTTCAATTGGATTGTTAATTCCTTTGGTGTTGAGGCATTGGAGTTTTCTCTAAATCTTGGAGATAAGTCCCTTGCCAGATATGTAATTATTGGCAAATATGAATTTGTTGCTGTCATTTTTGTTACGTGCCTTTTCGTGGTGTCGATTTCTTTGTTCTATATAATTTTCTATGCTGAACTCATTTTGTTTATGAATCGTGTTATCACTTCCTTTGTTGCTATTGTTTTAGATTTGCTAAATATTTGTGCTGTCCTCTTTTATTTTGATGTTTATCAAACAAAAAATAACATTATGATGTTGTTTTATTTTGAAGGTTTATCATTTTTCTTTGAGGTTACCCTGTGATTTATAGTTTTCTTCCCAAGTTTAGAAAAGTCCATTCTATCTTATAGTTGTCTTGACATCTCTACCATCTAGAAGTTCTTTAAGGACACAGTTTTTTCCCTCTTTTTGGTTTTTAGTTGTCCTCATTTGTCAATTGATGTCTCTGGTTCCATGTTTACAATCTTGTAGGCTTATTTACTTTGAATACTTCCATAGTTGGGTTGGTTTCTGGGTTATATCGTCATGTGTGTTAATGGTCAGTTGTTGCTGGCTGTTGTTGCTTCTCTGTTCAAAGGACTCCCTTTAGCATCTCTTGTAAGATTGGTCTGGTTTTAACAAATTCCCTTCATTTCTGCTAATCTGGAAATGTCCTAATTTTACCATCATATTTGAGGGACAATTTGCTGGATACATAATTCTTGGTTGGGAATTTTTCTCTTTCGGAGTTTTATATATACCATCCCACTGTCTTCTCGCCTGCATGGTTTCTGCTGAGAAATCTGAGCTTAGTCTTATTGGTTTCCCCTTGTAGGTAACTTT